CCCCATTCCCATTCCCGGCCCCATTCCCATTCCCGGCCCCATTCCCATTCCTGGCCCCATTCCCATTCCTGGCCCCATTCCCAGCCTCAGTCCCAGTCCCCAGTCCCGGCCCCATCCCCAGTTCTGGCCCCAGGCCCATTCCTATTCCCAGTCCCCATTCCCAGCCCCAGTTCCCATTCCTGGCCCCATTCCCAGTCCCCATTCCCAGCCCCAGTTCCCATTTCCAGTCCCATTCCCAGTCCCCATTCTTATTCCCGGCCCCATTACCATTCCCAATTCCCTTTCCCATTCTCCATTACCAGTCTCCATTCCTGGCCTCATCCCCAGTCCCAGTCCCATTCCCAGCCCCAGTTCCCATTCCCAGCCCCAGTTCCCATTCCCAGCCCCAGCTCCCATTCCCAGCCCCAGTTCCCATTCCCAGCCCCAGTTCCCATTCCCAGCCCCAGTTCCCATTCCCAGCCCCAGCTCCCATTCCCACCCCCACTCCCCATTCCCATTCTCAGTCCCATTCCCACTCCCACTCGCTCTCCCCACCCGTTCCGTCCCCGGGGCGGGCCGTGCCCGAGGGGCGGAGCGATGGCGGTGCCGGCGGAGCGTGGTGAGCGCAGCGGGGCCCGGCTGGCCCGGCGGGAGGCCCGGCTGGCCCGGCGGGAGGCCCGGCTGGCCCGGCGGGAGGCCGCGGGCTGGGCTCGTCCCCCCGCAGGCAGGGCTGGACGGGGGCTCGGCGGGAGGGCCGGGACGGGCGGGTGAAGAGGGTCCGCTCTGCCCCAGTCTCTTACAGGTTCGCCGTGCTGCTCTTCAACTGCCTCCTCACCTTCGGCTCCTACTTCTGCTTCGACATGCCCGGCGTCCTGCAGCAGCAGTTCCAGGGGGTGAGTGTCGAGGGGCGCTGAGCCTCCGCCCGGGCCGTGCAGACAGGGGCACAGCCGGCAACACAGGCCGCGGCCGCCGCTGGATTTTCCAGACCTTTTCCTGTCGGTACAGGGGTCTTTGCCCCGCGGTCTCACCTCCCAGGTGCTGCGGGTGGGAGGTTGTCACTGGCACGCCAGGTGTTCGAGCTCCCTCTGCTGCCGGGAGAACTGGGAATGTGGCACTCGCCCGTGCTCCGCGGGGTCGGCTCCTCTTCACCGCCCTAAGGGAGTCCAGTCGAGACTTCACACCACCCCGCACGCAGGAGATCCACAGCACTGGCCGTCAGTACCTGCACGGGGGTGGGAGACACGAGTGCTGGAGGTGATTCATTTGCAGCAGAACTTCACTGTGCAGTGTGACCACAGTGACGCTCACGCAGTGCTCCGCGAGGCCTGTCTGGCAGCCTGACGTGCTTGCATTTTCTTATCTGGTGGCTTTGCTAACACTGCTTCAATTTCTTCCCCTTCTATTTCTTTCCCATTCATTTCATTCATAGCCTGTACAAAAGTTAGAAGCAAAATATCTAAAAATTTGTTTCCATTCAAAAGGAAACTAAAACTTACCAAAAGAAACCAGAGGCTTGGGCTGCTCCAGGCTGAGCTGGGCCTTTTGCTTTGCTTCTGCGCTGCATAAATAGAATGTTACACATCACTCTTTCAAGTCCCGCTGTATTCACCAGTTACAGTGAAGCAGCATTTTTTTGAAAAAAAAAATCTCTTAATATCATAAAGTTAAAAAAAATGGGATTAAAACATATTAAGCCTAATTTTTAAGAAGTCAGACGTAACACCATCTCTTATGTTCCTATATCCCCTAGAAACCTTTCAGAAATACACGAGTCACTTTTACCAGTAAGAAGGAAAGTCTGGGTCTCCAGGTACAAACCTTCTGACACTGCAGGCATCACATCAGTATTTGCTGGCCCAAGGACTGTGCAGGGGGGTCACAGGAGGACTGGCATGTAAAAACCAGTCATATTCTCAAATGCTAAAAACTTCTGTTGCTCAGCGTTCACACTGCCATCCCAGCTGATTGCTGGGAGTTCTCCAGAGATGCTGGAGAGCCAAAGCTGAATTTCTGAACCCCTGACAAATTCTTACTGGACTAGTTTACCTGTCGTGATTGCATTGGTTCTGTGTCTCCTGAGAGATGATTTGCCTCTCATGTGCTGTCTGCTGGCAGGTCAGCGTGTGTAGGGGCAGAGTCACTGTCCTATTTTCTGTCTGCCTCAGTAGCCAGGGCAGGAATAGCCAGAGCTCGCATGTAAGTTTTTTTTAACATAAATGCAGTAAATCCCTAACATTCAGACAGTGAACTCCAGGCTAAATTGGATGCAGCTTGTCATTGCAAATGTGAGAAAAATCTCCCCCCAAAATAGGTCAGTAATTATTCCTCAGTCTTCCACAACTTCTGTAGATTTGTGAGGGAGGAGTCAGTTACTTATTTATGGAATACAGGAAAGGCTATGTCATGTTTTGTTACCCAGGTAACCAAAGACTTTGTAGGGTAGTGAAACCAAGCCATATTTTTCTGTGTTAGTACTGTGCAGAGTTTTTAATCTTGTCATATTTTTTACTCTAGTGAATTTAGCCTCTCCCTGCCTCAGCAGTGGTACTGTGGTGGTTGGAGCACCTGAGACGAGTGCTTGCAGTGAAACACTTTGTTCTAGAGAGCTGCTTCTCTGCAGCCTCAAAAATTTCTGCTGCAGCACATCTGAGGAGTTGTGAATATAAAAATCTCATGGTAAAAATCACACTTCTCTTGTGCTCATTCAAGGTGCTAAGCTCTTGCCTGCTGGTGTGAAGACCCAGCATCCATGTCCCAGTGCAGGTGAATTTTCAGTAGCTGGAAGATCTTAGGGGGGTTTTCCTGATCATATAGTGTTGAGGAGATGTTGCTTTTTAGTAGCAAAACCAAGGTTTTTAAATCATGCCAGGACTACCAGTTTCTTACTCTACTGGAAATGCTTTAGAGCTGAGAATTGATACAGACTGAGTTGCATATTTACATGCTCCTTGAGACTTTTCAGTATGGAATGAAGAGTCAGATGAAGCTGAACTATAACCAAGAAGCTGAGGGATCAGATAAAGCTGGTGGTGCAGGCTCCTGGCTTTTCTTCTGGTTGGAAATGTGTATAAAAATGCTGAGCCCCTGCTGCTACTGCCACAGGAAGAGAAACAGAAGCTGTGCCATGCCATGCCAATGGTCAGTCATTTCCCATTTGAGAAGGGCTGGCTTTCTAGGAGAAGACACAAGTCCCTTAATGACTGCTTGTGGAAGTGGGAGCTGAGCAGGATAAATAGAAATCTAGATGGGAAGAACCTCATTTTTAAAGGCACATGTGAGTTTTTGTCTGTGTCTGCACCTAACAAAGGCTCTGTGACTTGTACAGAACTTGACCTGCCCCAATGGAACCCACCATAACAGCACTGGGCACAGTGGCGCGCTGGAGTGTGTGGAAGGCTTGGGAATGACCCCAGCTCAGTACAACCTGCTCTACGTGATCTATGCCTGGACGTGAGTCACTTTGCTCTTGCTTTTGGGGGTGGATGGTTTGGTAGTTGCTCCCAAGCACCAAGACAACATATTTCTGTTCTGGTTTTCTCCTAGAAATGCAGTAGTGGTTATTCTGGCTGGATTCCTGATTGATAAACTGGGAAATCACTGTAAGTTCCGAGGTTCCATTAATTTATTCTTGTTCTGAAGTGGGATTTCAGGCTGTCCTTTCAGTGCAAAGGGATGATTAAAAGTCCCAGTGCCGTAACATTCCAGAGGGATGGAGGGCGGGGTGTGATGGTTAGCTGAGCAGCTCTGTGAAGCAACTGAGACATTTTCCTCCTTTAACCACTGACTTACCTGAATTGACACAGCAGGGCAGTAAACACGCTTTTCTCTGACACACACATGACAGGGACTAGTTTTATCTGGTTTTGATAGGACAAACTGATAAAGCACGGTTCTGTTCCCTGCTCTGGCATTTGTTCTGGCATGTGCCATAAGCTCAGACCCAGTAATCCCAGCAAATGCAGTCCTGCTGTCTCTGTATCCTGGAGGTAAACATCTTAGAGAGGAGAGGGTGGCACAGAGAAGGACATCATGTCCTCTAGGACATATAGTGGAGCTCAGGACAGGGACAAGGACTCTACACATTTCAGAATCCTCTGTCTGAGTTACTCTGCCCCTCTAACCTCCCACCATGATAATGTCATCATTACTGTGAGGATTCCCAAGTCATTTTATAAAGAGACCAGTCTTACAAAATTGAAAACTGAGAGTAAGCTGATGGAAGCCCTCACGTTTAGTGGTGTGTTTTGAGGTTTTCCTTTTGCTTCTTTGTGCTGGTTTAAAAGTTAACCAGCAGGGGAAACCAACCCAACTCAAAAGAGAGATTACAAGTCAGAATAACAGTTTAATAAAATAATACGATAAGTACGACCACACAGACAAGCAACAGGCCCTAACCCACAAAGCCCAAATGTACAACCCGGCACCCCGGGGCACAAACAAAGCGGTGCTCCCTGGACCCCCCCCCCCCCCCCGAGTCCAAAGCAAAGGGAGAGGAGAAAAACCTGCTGATGGGAGAGCTGCTGCAGTCCGGCCAAAAGTGGTGATTGCAGCCCAGCCGAGGGTGGTGGTCTCAGTCTGGCTGAGAGCGGTGAGCTGCAGTCCTCCTCTGGATCCCACGAGAGGTGGAAAGGTTTCGAAACTCCAGGTTTATATATTCTCCAGCTCAGGCAGGAATGTTCAGTCCCTCCCCCAGAGCGGGGAATTCCATAAAAGGATGCTCAGTCCTTCTCTCAGAGTGGGGAATTCCATAAAAGGGCATGAGGACAGGAACATCCCCCCACCTCACAGGCCTCTACTGACAACAGTTTCTGGGAAATGGCATGGAAGGCTATAGAATACACAGGTTTGGGCTACACCCATCCAGTGATGAATCGGTTCCAGCTGTTCTAACTAGGACATTCTTGACACAGAATACTTTTGTTGTGATCTCAGCATGTCTATTGAGGTTTGTGTATTTTTTTCTGTTTCTCCCTAGTTGGTGTCTTTGTTTTCTCTCTTCTCACTGTGCTGGGATCATCCCTCTTTGCTCTAGGCTCACACTTTAAGGGCTCACCATACCTCCTTCCAATGATGCTAACAGGAAGACTGCTCTTTGGCTCTGGGAATGGGTCACTTACTAGTAAGGAATTCACATTTACATATTTTCATATTTACATCTCATCAAATGGTCATGATACATTTTTATTTTGCTTCCTAGACCCTTGTCCTACCAGTGAGCTTCACCTCTGCACAAGGGCCCTGTCTTGCTGGCAGAACACAGCTCCTGCTGCATGGATTTAATGTGTGCCAAAATGTTTAAAAGTCTTCCCCTCTAACAACTTAGTCCTTCCCTCAAGGTGGGGACTGACATGTGATTTCTCTGCCTTTGAGGTTATTTTTACTTGCTTTATGTGAGGGATAAGTTCACCTCCCACGTCCCAGCATGATTTAGTACATTTTAAAATGGACTGTGAGGCTGGCACAATCTGCTTCCCCTTGGGATGAGTAGAGGTCTCCTCACCCAGCCTGAGCTCTCCAACTTGAGAGAGCTGTTGCTTCTGTGCCATGCTCTTGGCCAAGCCTGTCTGTTCAAGAGAGGATTTTTTGTTCTCCAAGTTGTGCAGAATCGTATCACAGCCTTCTGGTTCAAGGGGAAGGAACTGGCACTGGCTTTTGGACTGACTCTGTCCTTCTCCCGTCTTGGGAGTGTCCTCAACTTCTTCTTCACCCAGCAGTTTGAGGCAAAGTTTGGAATGCAGTGGACTCTCTGGGGAGGTGAGTTTCTTTGGTGCTTTTGGCTTGTTGTTTTTGAGACCTCAGGCCAGCTCGTTTTGTCCAGTTACTAAAAGACTCTGAAAAAGGTAGTGAGGTTAGCAGGAAGAGGCATGTGATTTTCCAATTTTTCCTGCTGCTTTCTGTGTGCTATGAGTGGTGTTTTCTGCACTGATGCCAGAGAACCCTCTCTTAATACTCTAGTGTCAGCCTGCCAGTGTTGTTTTCTTGACATATTTTAAACATCTACAGTCACAGGTAATCAGTACTTAATGTATGTTTACTCCCATGGAATAGAAACTTCAGAGTGAAAACAAGAGGAATCAAGTGTGTTTGTTATTCCGTACTTTGGCCAGCAGAACGTGCTGGTTCTGCAGCAGTGTCTGTACTGTCCCAGAAGAAAATGCCTTGCACATGGCTGATTGAAACTGCATGTTTAAATTACTGTGAGAAGCAGAACCTGAACTACACATTTCTTAGTGTGAATCTGTTCTAGGGCTTGTATCTTTAGAAGATTTGAGTTTCTGTCCTCTTCGTGGTGCAGTGAGGTGGGATCTATCTCTAGTGCCTTGAAGGGATGACTTGTTCCACAGAAGGGTTAAGTGGTACATGTGTACTCTGGTGTGCTGTGATGGTGATGTAAGGGAGACCTGCTTCAGGGCCTCCTTTGTGTACAAAAACTCAGTGATTATTTTCCAAACCACACAGCAGCATGGGCCATCATCCACGGAAAAGAGGATGCACGTGTGTGATAAATCTCATGCAGAAATTGAAACCCGTTCCTCTCCTCTGATTCCAGCTCTCAGAGAAAAAGCTGTGGTGGGCATGGGCTGTCACATCCCATCTCACATTTAGTTTTGTGCTCAGGCAGCATTTGTAAGCACAGCACAGTGACTTCTGCAGTCCATTTGGCTCTTTGGAAAGCAAAACAGGTACAGAGCTCTTTCTGAGAAGGATATCTGCAGCAGATGCCCATTGCCAAACTTGCTAAGACATATCCAGCATAACTGGACTCTGTGCTCGCAGGTCAGACTGCTGTGGTAACTGCAGCAGGTCACACCAATGGGGAGGTACAACCTGGCTTCCAGTGCAGCCCTGGGATGCCTCTCCTGCTCTGGGGACCAGGGAAGTTTCCCAGTGTCTGCCCTGCTTTAGCCTTGGGTTTGTTGCATAAGCCTGCTGTAGGTCAGGAGCATCAGGACCATCAGTACTGCAGCCATGGGAGCTTGGTGGGCACAGCTCAGGGGCTGGAACAGGATGCTGTGAGTGGAAGGGTCCTGCTCTGTGTGTTAAGAGAAGCCAGGAGTAGGAGTCCTGGAGAATTCAGTATTTTACATGCAGTGGAGTTTATCATTCAGCTCTGTCCATGCTTAGGAATTTCTAACACCTCTTGGTTTTCTAGGGAGCCTGCTCTGTGTGCTGGGGCTTGTTTCAGCCCTCACAGTCAGTGTGCTGGATAAAGTGGGCATGAAGCAGCTGGGCTTGGATGGCATTATCCAGCAAGAATCCAAAAAAGTGGTACGTAGTGTTTTTCCACCTCCATCCTGGCAATCCCGGGTGCAGGAGCGCTGCCTTTGGAGCGCAGGGAAGACTGCGGCAGCAGGAGCCGGTCCCGGCCAGGAGAGGGCATTCCCGCCCCTCGGTTCGATCCTGCAGAGCAGAACTGAGCAGATCAAATCTGTGAGCCACCAGCCAAGAGTCGATTCCCTGCCTAGAGCCTTTCAGAGAGCACTCAGGACAGCAGTAGCTTTCTGAGCCAGTTACTTCCTGTCTATAGGTGGCTCAGAGGAGGATTTTGTGCACAAAATTCGCTGGTAGCCTCCCTCTGAACTGCTTTCTGGCTCACAGGATCTGCGATAGCAAACAACAATACTGAACTATCTCTGGTCAGCCTTTCTGTTCCTACTTGCATTCTCCTGTCTAGGAACAAACATTACAGGCTTGTAATGTCTGCAATTTTTATGGCACTTTAATCTATAAGATGTACTTCCTTCTTATGATAGTACTCTCACTGGTTTCTGTAGCTCAGTGTTGTGACTCGTGTTTATCCTGTACCTTTCTGATGTGTTTCACTTAAGGATTTGCAGCAGACTCTTAACAGAGCCTGCTCAAAAATCTCTTGCAGCCAGAACCTTTAGAAAAATAAGAAGAAAGCTTTTATGTTTTCTTTACTGAATAGTGTTAAAGAAGGAATGTGTTAGAGTCAGCACATACCAAATTTCACTTAGAGGTGTATGAGCTGCCTCACAGTTCCCTTTTACCTGCTGTTACTCCTTAAATCTCTCATGCCCTTCAGTGGCTTGCAGGAAGTGACACTGGTGTGATGCTGGGCTAATGCCTGGTGAGTGAGGGCACATCTTGTCTTTGCAGCGAATTCAGGACATCCAGCACCTTCCCCTTCGCTACTGGCTCCTGGTCCTCACCATCATGTTCTTCTACAACGGAGTGTTCCCCTTCGTGGCCGATGCCAGGTACTGTCCTGTGGCTGTGACCCACTGACTGACATGAGCCTGCAGAGCCTTCCAGGCCTCAGCTGTGGGCTGACTGGGAAATACAGTTTCCTTCCAGTCTTGAAATGCAGAGAAACATGTCTTTAACACCTAGTTGAAGGTTTGAGGGTTCTTTGACCTTTCTTTCCCTTCAAAGATGAGAGAGGCTTCTGAAAGAAAGCAAAAATACCTTTGAGGGAAATGATTCATCCAATATTTATAGCTTGGAACACTGCCAAAGGAGGATCAGAAGGTTTTGGGAGAAGGGGGAGAAATACTTTATTTAAAAAATAGCCCATAGGCATTTCACCTTTGTGATAGCCCAGCAAAGTGGGTGTCTCCTGAGCTGGGTGGAGTGTCAGCTCCACAGGCCTGGGGCAGCTCTGCCTTGCAGCTGCTGCACACTGCTGTGTCTGGAACACAGCTGGGCTTGCTCAGCCTGGGTTTGTACGTGAGGAAGCCTTTGTATCCTGGTGAAGGCCTCAGACTTCCTTTTTAACGCCTTCTTATGCTTGAAACAAAGCAGTGACCTGCCCAAGTAAACTGAGACTCCTGCTTCTGTCGTGGGGCTCTGCCACAGACTTGTCATTTTGCTGCTTTGTTCCCATTTGTGGATGGTGCAGCTTCTGTCACACAATCAGGGTGAACTTTTCTATTAGCAAAGGCCTGCAGTAAAAAAAATAAAATTATTTTGGTAGTATTTCATTAGCTGTGTATAGGAAGCCACTGTGAAATCAGGGAGAAAGAAATGTCATCAGCATGATGACTGAGGGGAAGTAGCCATGCAAGCAGCCAAACCAGGCTTAAGGAGCTGCAAGATCTCTAAATAAACCTCTATGTAAGCTCTTATTACAACTCGATGACTGTAAATTCTGTAAAGAATTTGAGGAAGTTTAATGTAATTTCTGCGTGTCCCTAACAAAGGTGAAAGGCTGGCTTTGACAATGGGTGTTTTTCACTGTAACCAGGTCTCCTTAAAGGAATTCCTAAGGGGCAGTTCCTAGTACTTCTCAAATACAGGTGTTCAATTTAAATGCCGATCTTTGCTGGTGGATAATTTTTAAACAGTTGTCCAGCCCCTCAGCATTCTCCCCTTGTACTGATAAGGCTTTCTGCCTCATAAAAGAGGATGTCAAACTCCACCGGTGTGTTGTGGACAGGTGATGGCACATTGCTGCCCTGAGCTGTGTTGATGGAAGGGAACACATTTTAGCCTGCACTTTAACCTGCAGTTTCACTCTGCACTTGCAGAAGTATCTCGAAAGTGGCTGTTTAAGCTACCAGCTTCTCTGTGATGTGCACCAATTAAAAAGAAAATAAACCACCAAAGGCACTACAAACTACCAGACAAAATCAAACTTGTTTACAAGTCTTCTCATTCAAACCCTTCCAGTCCATATGTTTGTGCTCAGGCTTACTTTCTTACTTTTTTCCCCTTCATTTTGTTTTCAGCAAGTTTATCCAGGATAAATATCCCGGTTACAGTCAGCAGGCAGCGGCTTACATTGCTGGGGCAGTGTACGACAGCTCCCTTGTCCTCTCCGCAGCAGTTGGCATTTTAATTGTGAGTACCCAAGACCTGATGTGCTTGCTGATAACTTCCCAAGTTTTTGAACTGTCCATTACAGCCCCTCAAACAGAATTGCACAGAATTTTGGGGCTGAACAAGCAGTCCTTTATACCCTTGCAAACCTGCAAGATGCACTTCAGTCTGATTTAATTACAAGAAGTAACATTAACCTGGTTTTCCCTCTGTCCTGTAGTTGTGCTATGGTAGCAGCAACCCATGGCACACAGCTGTGTGTTTTGAGAAGTCTGAGACTGGAACAGAAAGGATTGAGATAAGCTTTGCAAAGTAGATGGGGAAGGACAATCTGCATGAAACCCAGGCCCTGTTTTGTCAAATGCTTCCTTTCCTTATTTCCATAATTGTCAGGGTATAATACTGTTTTCCCTTACCCTACGTTAAGGGTTTCACCTGAGTACTGGACACCTAGTGTGACGTTTCAGGCTCAGTTCAGAGGTACACAAGAGAAACCAGGAACAGCTGGTCTGCTACACTACCAGCAGCCAGGAAATCCCATGTCACTGCCCCTCCTGCCAGCCCACTTTGTGCAGCCCCTTGTGTCCCTGACCCATGGGAAGCAGGATTCCCTGTAAGAGGCCTGCTGTCTGTTCCTGCCACCAGGACTACGTTGGACTGAGAGGTGTCTTTGCTGTTGGCTGTGCCACGCTGACTCTGCCCATCTTCGCTCTCCTGGCCTTCACGTTTGTGCCTCCGCTGGTCTCTACCATCTGGCTGGGGATCACTTACTCCTTCGCTGCAGTGAGTTCCCAACCCCACTGGGTAGCTGTGTGTCTTGTGGCTACACTCCTACACCTGGATGGTGTATTACTGCTGCCCTGGTGTCCTGCTGAACAGGTTTAGCAGGCACAGGCAGGCACATTAGGCTCCCCAAGCCTAATGACTTTGGTTAGTAACAAATAACCCCAAAGAATCAACATGGAGCAGAAAGTGGGGCAGAGTGAGGAAGCCCTCGTACAGTGTGAAGCATTAACCTGGCTATGATTTGCTTAGTTCTTTTTTACCTTGAATGTAACACCTGAATCTCCTTTGAGTCTTACCCACTCAGCCACCAGGTCTGACTCCCCTTCTGAAATCTGGAGTCAGGTTCTTCCAGTTTCAGATAACCTGTGTTGTCTGTGCTGTCTCCAGCTGCTTGAAAAGGATGGGGAACAGTCTAGAACCAGCCAATAGGCTGAAGGGACAAGCACCAGATTTTTTGAGGGGAAGGTATAAATGTTTATTTCGTGGGAATAATTCCTTTTTGAACCAATGTCTTGTCTTAACACCTTTAAATCAGGCTCTGAGTTCCTGTTCTCATTGCTCCCCCAGGCTAGTATGTGGCCATCTATACCCCTTGTGGTGCCCCAAGCGACTTTAGGGACAGCGATGGGGCTGGCAACTTCTGTGCAGATGGTTGGAGTTGGCCTTTCAAATCTGATTGTTGGATACATGCTGGGAACAAAGTCCAGGTGAGAACGCTTTGTCTTTTTTTTTACCAAGCAGAGAAATCACCAGTGCTTTAGTGGAGCAGTGTAAACAGGCATCAGGGGATTTGCAACTTGATGCTGCAGGGAACTAGAGCAGTGCCTTAAGTATCTCAAGTGACCGGTCTCTCCTGTTTTGGCTTTCTAGTGAACTAAAGATCCCCCTGTGGCGCTGGCAACAGATGATGATCTTTATGCTGGCAAACACTGTCGCCTGCATCATTGCCTCCATTGGCCTCAATGTTGTGGACAAGAAACAGGTAAGTGTGATAAAAGGTGAAGAAATAGCTGTACATCACCAAGTTCCTTTTACTGATCTGGCTCTTGGATGTGTGAGTAACTCAAAATGGGACTGCATAAAGAGAGAACCCTCTGCTAAAGACTGAGACAGCGTGTCTCACTCTTGCCTACTATCAAGCCATTGGTGGCTGTATTTTTTTTGCAAGACAGTGAAGGCAAGGGCCAGGACCCACCTGTGGCAATGTGTGTGTACAGGAAAAAGTGTCCTTTTGTCACCAGTTGCTGCTTTGAATTTCCAGGATGGGACGCTGAACAGAACCAGAAAGAGAGCACCCATGGGGCAGGACAGAGACCCCGCAGATGCAGCACAGCTCCTTGAGGATGAAACGAGAACCGAGGGCTCTGTCAGCTGAACCTTGGCAGGGAGAGAACCATGGCCCTGCCAGACACAGCACTGGTCACTTCTGCCTGAAAGCAGATTTTAGCCTGTGTACTTTAAACATCTTTAAAGGGAATCTTGAAGGGAATTGTCTACAAAAAGGGAATGTTTCCACTTTCTTATGCCTGGCACAGCAGTGGAAGGGGTGTGCTCTGTGGTTCTTGGGCATTCTTCAACACCCCCCCACCTGCATGGGGCACGTTAAGGACCACACTGCAGCCACTGAAGCTCACCCAGCTAACCTTGTTCATGAACCATTAGACAGCTGCTTGTCAGCCTTGCAGCACAGCTGCCTGCAGAGGTGTGCCTGCCTGCTCTGCCACAAGAATCCTGCACAGCAGCACTTGCTAATCCATACAGGGTTAGCCTGATGTTTTACTCCCTGCTCTAGATTAGCCTCTTTCACAAATCACATGCGTGTGCAAGTGACACCATCATTATTCTTTAGGCAGGAGCCTGAATTAATCAAATTGATGACCTTTTGCACACAAGCCTAGCTTAATTGCTTATTACTTTACTAGAAATGCTTCTGTAAGCCGTGCCTATTCATTGCCCTTCAAAAGCATAAAGGGTTTTGATCTGGAATCCCGTCCTTTACACCAAGGTGCTCTTACTCATGAAGGCTAGAGGCTTATTTTACTCAGCCAACTGCCCTTTGCACTATGCAAATGCTCACAAACACTCACAGTGTTTACAAAAGGACAAAGGAGGCTTTAATAATGAAGTAAACTGTACCACAGCCAAGTACGAGAACTGTTGAAGTGAACGACACGTAAATTACTAAAATTCTGAAGAGCAACTGTACTCAAGTTGCATTTAATATAAACAGTAGTAGATTGAAAGCAATTTAGGTACTGACAGCAACCAGTAAAGTCACATTTTAAGACAAATGAACTCATCAAATCAAAACTTGGTTAAACTGATTTACTGAAGAGGATGAGCTCAGAGAGCAAGGTGTTCAAGTTTTATGTTACACTGTGAATTCATTTCAGACCACAGTTAAAGGATTTCCCTTTTGGAGTTTGGTGCAGTAGAAATTTAGGGGATGGGCTTGAGAAGTCACAGAACTGCAAAAGTCACAGGCTCCTCTAGTTTGGTGGTGACCTCTCAAGATCATTGAGTCCCACACCCCAGCTCAGGCAGGGGCAACCAGAGCACGTTGTCCAGGACTTGTATCTGATGAGAATTTGAGCATCTCCACAGATGGACTCTGCAGTCTCTCTGAGCCACTTGTCCCAGTGCCTAATCCCTTTCAGGAAAAAGGTGGATCCTTGCAGATGGGATTCCATGTGGTTTCCCTTGTGCCCATTGCCTCCTGTGCAGAGCAGTCAGGCCCCCCCATCCTTGCTCCCTCCCAGCAGGTACTTGAGCACACTGGTCAGACCTCCTGGACCCTTCTGGAGCAGCCCCAGCTCTCTTGGCCCCTTCTCCCGTGAAAGATGCTCCAGTCCATTTACCCCCTTTGTGGCTCATTTAGCACTTGTTAAATCACATCTCTTTTGTACTAGAGAACCCAAAATTGCACTCAGTGCTCCATGTGAGGTCTCACCAGTCAGACTCCTCAGTGGCTTCAAAACACCCCTCAGTGGCTTCAGAACACCCCTCAGCCTCCATTCACTGCACCGTTCTTCAATGCTGAAATCCTGCACTTGCATTTTTTTACTGGAAGAACCCCATGGTGAATTTCCAGCTGTGATTATGAAGAACCACATGCAGCAGTGCTGTAGATTCATGTTGGAGGCTTGTGTACAGAAGAAAATACGTGTTCGGAGCTGATTTGTGTCTCCATACACTGGTTCAAAAGCAGTGACTTCAGCCTGCCTTGCCAAAAGTAGCAGCTTTCTCAGTTTATACCATGTGATGCTGCAGCTAAACAACTGAGGGTTGGTGCTGCAATGAGTGCTGGGATAGCCGGTGAAAGTCCTGTACTTGCTCCTTCATGGAAGAAGCTCACTTGAAAGCCAGGCATTCCTGTTTACCATCCCATAATCTACCTCCAGATGACTAGAAAAGAAACGTTACGTCTTCTGTTTTGAAGAAGAGTTGTGACATACTTTCCTTAAAGTCTGCCACTGGTTAACGAGGTTTGCGCCGGTGTAGCACTGACGCCTCACTGCCTGCTCTGCCAGGTGTCAGTGGGAAGCATTCCTGCCCCTCTCTGTGTTTGCTGCCTATGTGGAGAACTTCTTTTGGCTAGAGAGGGTTTTGTAGAAACCATGCTACAAAGATCCCTGCATGTGCTTTAAAAAACCCTGTTGCAGAATCTGAAGATATGGGGAGATTCTGGGGACCTTTGGATCTGTTGCACAAAGACCATCTTCAGGGTGAGAGGAGTCTACTGGAACCTCTCACAGACAGAGTTTTTCTGGACGGGCTGTTCCTGTCTTTCAGCTCATGTGGATAAAGCTCGAAGCTGACCTAACAGCATGAACCTTACTGTAGCAGTAGCTGCTCACCTCTGCTGGGCACATCGACAGCTTCCTCTTACTCAGCTTTTATCAGTAATGTCTCCCCTGATGACAAGGAAAGCCACTCTCACTTTGCTTGTCTTCCCCGTTTGTGCTGGACACCTGCTGTTAGGATTCCAGAGCTCAGCTCTGAGCAGCTTTCTACAAAGCCATTGCATGGCTCTGCTTGAGCTTGTCGTGAAATGAAAGGGTGGTGTTCACAGAGGTCAACATGTTGCAAGAGATAGAAGGAAACAGTCGGGGTTTTTTTGTTTAATTTTTGTAGAGTTGCACTGATCATGTATACAGGTAACTGAAACCCCACCCCTCACCCTGTCCCCAACCTTGGGCAACCTGGAGATGGTGGGCTCCAACAATATTCTCTGCCAGAACGTTCCTTTGTCTTAAGACACTGTGGACTGTGAAGCCTGAAGGTGGACATTAGTTCAGGCAACTCACACTGAGATGGGTAAGAGAGCAGAATTAGAAGGTGGCTGGAGCTAGAAAGGCTGATGGGTAAAGCAAATTCCCACATTCTTGCTGGCTCTTGCCAGTACTTTTGACCTGCTTGAGGAGGAGGAGGTCCTGTTAGCAATATAAGGAGCTGCAGCTTGAAAGAAAGGGAAAACAAGTTCAAGAAGAGATAGCAGCCGTGATTATTTTTAGCTTCATCTCTGGGGATGAAGACTAACTCAGCCCAATAATTAAAACCCACTCTTCCTGCTCACTGACTATGTTCAGAGGGAAGAGCAAGTGGTTAACTGGGCACAGCCTGGGCAGCCAGCTCAGCCTGCTGGGGGGTTCTGCCCATCAGTTCTTGGCCAGCAATGAATCGTGACCCCAGTCCTGTCCTTGCACACCTGGTCTCCAGTAATGACACCAACGGCTCACAGGTGCCCAGGCCTCCCCACAGCCAGGATGCTGCAACTCCTCTTTATTCCTTAAGAAAAATAAACAATGGAAAACTCTAGCCTCAACATTTAACCCATCGCCTTTTCCACAGCAAAGCAATACAGGGTTTCATCAGAGCTTCAAGTCTGAAATTCAACAGGAGACACATCAGGGGGCTTGGACAAATCAGTGGGTGGCCATGTGGCTTCCAGCCTGTGGAGATGCAAGTTCCAACTGAGCACACTCCACATGCTGAGAGGCATCAAACTGTTCTCTCCACAGTCACCGAGGTAGCCACGATGCTTGGATGTCCATGCACTGGTGCGATCACGTTGTACATGAACAACTCCGAGAGCCTTCCAGGGAACATACCGGAGCAGTTACTCATTTAGTGCTTAAATAATTGTCTCCACATAACGATCACTAGACAATCCCCAAGAATGTAGAATGGATATCCCAAGTCTGATTGGCCTGTATAAATCCTTCAAAAAACCCACAGTAATGCTGCTTAAAACACCAACAGAGAGGACATTAATCTTCCGCACTGGTAGTGCAGGGTGGGGCGTTAGGCAGTGATGCAACAGACGGACAGGATCAGACAGTGCTTGCTTAAAAGGTTTTGCACAGCAGCCAGCAGTGGGCACAGGGGAGAACACACACTGCTCTGGGTTAGGCAGGTTCACAGGGAGCAGGGGATCAGCTGCAGCTGGGCTGTTCCCTACAGCACTGCTGTCTTGTACAGGACAGATATGGTGACATGTTTAGGGCCTAAGCAGCAGCCATGCCTAGAACCACACCTGACTCATGTGCAGGTCCTCCTTTAGCCACTTCCCAGGCTGAGCTCACTATGGATACCATAATTTTCCTTCCCAGACTGAAACATCAACCTAGGTAACATTCTATCCCACATGTTTATGATGGTCCCTGTGGGTCTGTCTCAGTTTGAAGAGACTGGAAAGTTTGCTAAAGAGGATGAGTTATGAGACAAACCAAACTCCTCTCTCTTAGCAATTGTGAATTCAAAATTAAGGGGCTTTAATCGAGGAAGTGTGGAAAAAACCAGAAGAAATAACAACCCTTTATTAAAAGATATACGTATGTTGGCAAGAACAGTAACAGAACACAAAAAACTAGGCAATAGTCGTGTACCCAAAAAAAAAAAAAAAGGCCCCTTCAAACAATAGGGGGGAAAAAAAAAGTCTGAATGAATATTTCTCTGTCCTTTAGCGCAGTTCTAATCACGGTCGGCAGGGGGCGCTGTTGGGTCGCTGGAGGTGCAGAGCCTCCAGTTCTCTGTGCTGACCTGCAGGGGGCGCTGCTGGGCTCTGGCGGTCACCGCACAGGGAGGGGTCTGGGGGGTGGTCTCGGATCGCGGGAGAAGCCGAAAAGAAAGAACGGGGGGCCCTTCCCCCAGTGGAAGAAGGGCAGAAGGAAAAGCAGTCCACCTCCACAGGACTCACTGATGTTCTCAGATGACGGCGCCCCAAAGCTCCTCCTTTTCTCCCAGCAAGCACAGAGACTCTCCGATGAAAGCCCAGGAGGTCCCGGCTGGAGTCACGAGGCAGCGTGCGAGCCGATCGGGACCAGTGGTCAGGCCTCACCAGGATGAAAAGCCAGAAAGACCGGCTTCCAGGCCCCCTCTCCAAAAATGCCCGGTCCATCTCCCCAGTCTGATCTCTCCCCTCCCAGAGGAGCCAGCCACCACCTCCCAAAACTCCTCCCCTCTCCCCCCAGCCTCTGATGGGTCATTCGGTAGGAATGCAGCTTGGCCAGGTAGATTCTTATGCAAGGCTAATTGACCTCTTTCCATTCGGACTCTGTCTTTCTTACAGTGGGAGGCAGGGGGAAGAAAATTCTCCTGGATTTCTAACCTATAACAGGGTCCCTTCCAACTTGGCATATTCTGTGAAATCTGCAGTTTTGGGAAAGCAGAGGTAAGACACAGAGTTGCAGAGTGAAGCTCTGTTGTGGTCTACTGCCACAGCTCAAAGGAAGGACAATCCTTCATTGCTAATGTGTCTACCAAGGACATTCCCAAATTCCCACACTATGCAGATCCCACTCAAAGCACTGTGCACGCTTCAGAGGAGAGTTCTGAACTGTAAATTGCCAAACACAGCAGGAGCTGTAGGAGTGAGGTCTGGCTGGAAGGCTCTGGAGGATGAACGCCACAGACACACAACGCGCTGGTTGAGAGGCCACTGTGTCCAGCTCACCCAGAAGAGCAGTTTCTGTGGGTGTAGTTCCCTCCTGTCAGCCAAGGCAGTCTGGCACGAGGGGGGTTTTATACACTCACTGGAAGAACAGAAGTGGGGGTATGACTTCTCCATCTAAAGAACATCCTCTGCTCAAGGGGAATTACTATATTATTCTACATTAAGCAGCCATAAATATTTAAATTATTTGGATATTTAAGTCTATTTATAATCTTGCTGAAGAACATAACGATCCCTGTGTAGTACAGAACATCATGGAATGTTGCCCCTAAAAAGGCACTGAACTGAACCCTCCCCAGGGATAAGAAGTGTCTGTCTCATTGGCAGCCTTGAGCAGGATGTCACAGCTCCTGAGCACAGTCCCCTGTATGGAAGGCCTGAAAATTTATGTGTAATTTTTCCCGCTTCAGACAATAAAATTCATGACTGTATCTACACTGAAATAGATTACTGACTTATTTATAAAAGCAGACATCTACAGCACACAACGAAGTAACAAAATACAGAGGTTTATTGACAATTGCATGTTCTGACATTTGATTTCCAATCTCCTTCTGTCCCGAAGAAAAGCTCAGATCAATCTTACCTGATGAGTTGAAAACATTGTTTAGATTCCAAAGAAAGAAATGCAAGAAAATTAACATAGTTTAACTAATTTAAGGCCTAGTTAGAAGTTGCTGTTTAAAAGACAGGCACTGCAGCCAATGCACATCAGGGACTAAAAGATGCCAAATGCTCAATATTGCACACGGCACCAGAGCCTGCAGTGCAGAAAGCAGCCTCTGGTCAACTTTCCCACATGACAGCCTCCTGTCAAGTACTGGAACAAGGAGCTGAAACAGATAGATGTGTCTGAGACAGCCAGAGGCTAGAGAGCACAGACTCAGGAGCAGCTGCTAGGAAATACATGTTTGGAAGTAACAAAAATCCATTTCAGGGTTGTAGTTTGAGTCACTGCCTTGTTTTCCTAGGAGGACAAATAACAGGCAGCTCCAAACCAATCTGAAAGGTACAAAGACACTGAAATCCCTATTCTCCATGGCTGTTTTACCCTTAGCATTGCCCCATATATTTCACGATTTGAAAAGGCAAATAAGTGTCCAAGCAATCACCCACCCTGCTGCCACAGGAGAACTGTGGCCTGGAGAGCACCACCATCACAGAGAGCTTTAGCACCTGGCCCAGCATCCCCTCACTGGCAGCACTTCCCAGGGAACCTGGGCTAGAACAGCAGTGGACATACAGATAAGGCCACTTGTTCTTTGGTGTACCTGAACAACTCCTGTTTGATACATCAGATTTAAAAAGTCACTATTCAATACATTGAACAGTCAGCACCTAATGTTAACATTCATATATCAAAGTTGTGGATACAATCAAAAAGTCCATTCAGAGAACAAACCCTACCCCAAAAATGTCTGTGCAAAACATGCACATCTTCCAAACATGATTTACAATAACCAGCACTAACAGAAGGTTTGTATTGCTTAAGTCTTTGTTTTTCCAACTAGGATAGTCTACAGCAAAAACAACTATGGCTTGGTGAGAACCCACACAGCTCTCCCAACCTTACCAACAAAAACGTGAGGCAGTCAAAGGCAAAGGTAAGGCTCACCAAAGACAGGAGAATTCACTAACAGAGTTAGCACAGACAAAACAAACAGGAAATTCACTGTGGTGGAGAGAGGAGAACAGTCATAGTTTCCATGGGGTGCAAAGTGAAAACCTGTGCCAAAGCTAAGGCATCCACACATGCTGGGTTAGAGTGACCTGGTTGGACACCTGGGCATATTCTCCATGGTAACTGTAAACTTCAAGTTGCCTCTGTGCAGAGTACCATAAAGCTATTTTTTGCACCCACATCTTTACCAGAACGTGTGCAAGCACTCAACCAGGGCACTTTTAAATAAAAGTCTTCTAGAAGCACCTATGTGAAATAGTATGTTGGACTGCCATATGTCAAGACCCAGTCATTGTAATCAGCAGATTACCAAAGGCATCAGAAAGGTCTGAATACCTGGGAGGGGAAGACCACAATCTTTATAAACGTAGCAATGGTTTATAAGTATAAAAGAAACTTTCAGCATATTTTGTCCTTGTATCAGCAATCACGTGTTGCAAAGCAAGAAAGGAGAAAGAGAACCAAAGACTGAAGACACTTCTAACAGTGGCAGCACTACTTGTTCCAGTGGAACATATTTACATTCACGTGACTGCAAGTCAGCTCACGCTGTAAAGCTGCATCCCACTGCCATGGGGAAAGCCCAGCCTACCTGCTGTACTTTGGAATCTTCAGGTGTGACCTCCAGGCTGCTCCCCATTCACGATCTTTGACATGTTGGCTGCATGGACAAGCCTGACTCCCCTAGAGTGCCCTAAGCCACGAGCTAGCTAACAACCTAACAGTCTGAGGAACCCACCACAAAGTAGCACTGATCTTTCACAAAGTTACACTAATGTCCCCTCTGCCACCCACCCAGGCAGGCCAATACTTACATCTTCCACAGGGCACCCGTTCCCTCCCCAGCCCGCCCTCCCCAAATCACCAGGTTACCTTTCCTACACACTCTAACGTAACCCTCATCCATCTGCCTAAGAATCTACCCACAAGCAATAGTCTATAAACTGACCTCGCCACCATAGACAAGAGTTTCTGTGCAGACTCCATTAGGGACAGTGCCCTGACGACCCTAATAGAAGGCAATGCTGGATTTCCCCCCAGGTGGATTGAGGACTTTGTTGTGTGAGCGTGGCCTTGGCCCCAGGCGGGGCTCGTGATTGTCTATCTTGGGTTCTGGCTCTTTGCATCGCTCCTCTTTGCCCACATCTTTTTTCTCGCCTCCATCTTCCAGCTGTGGTTTGACATTTTCTGTAGCTGCATAAAAGAAAAGGGATTAGATCATTACATCACCATTCTGTAGTCCACAAAGTGCCTCATTTTCTGTAGACTATATTATTTCCCATGTCTTCCATCCCCAGCACACCAAGGTTTCCCATTATCTGTTCATTTTTCCTGAAGGAAACAGGTGCTGAGAAAAGAATTTCACTTTCCACAGCAATTCCTCTCTTCCTTCAGCAATCTTTCTAACGAGAATATGGAGGCTCAGCAATACACCTTCAGAATGATTTTGGCAGTTTCAGGAAATTAAGAGATACAAAGTACCAATCAATCCTTTCAACCTGAGTTGAAAAGCAGGGTTCCCATCACTCTTTACCAACTATTTGTTATTTACAATTACAGAAGGCCAAGATTACACACTTGAAGGAGATGGCAAGGGAGGAAGAAGTAACCTGATAGGATGTTTTGCTATATACAGATTCCATATATATCTATATATACACACATGGTATCAAGCAAAGCATAAACACACAGACATAGAGTAGCAAGACTCATGCCTGTGTTCTCCTCAAAGGAGGAAGAAAGCCATCTTCCTTAGACAAGAGATTAGATCTCTGACTTCTCAGTATATTATCCCAAAAACATGAGACTAAGGCTGGTGTTTAAGTGGAAGCATAAGAAACTATTCCTCAGAGCATATCTTCTCAAAGAGCACAAAGAAGGGAATCTCTCTTGCTGACCTTCTAGCTTCATTGGCGTTTCATCTTCTTTCAAGACAATGTGATCCTGCAAAGAAATCAAGAACTTAGTGTATTATCGTTCTCAAACATCAAGTCTGTCACAAAAGCCTTCTGAAAGTTTTGCTTTGTTTCTGATCTAAGTTTGTATGTTGATTACAGTAAAAGCAAACAGCTGCAGGCACCGTGTGCAGCTCTTCATCCCCTCCTCCACTACAGAACTCCAAAAGCAGGGGGACAAAACTCCTGTTATGGCAAGGTGCCCATCTCAGACAATTTATTGAAACATGGGTGAAGAGGCTACAGTGGATCATCAAAATGGTAAGCACAGCAGAGCTGGGCTAACAGCTGGACTCCATCTTAGAGGTCTTCTGCAATCTTAAGGATTCATTGATCGTAAGGTCTGGAATTACCATTCCTGTTGAGCACCCACTACCACCCAGGAGAAGTTTGGCACACACAACTAGAACATAAGCAGCCCCTGAGGATCTTATTTATATTCAGCAATTCCTGTCTTCAGCAAGTATCCCAACGGTCAGGTAATAAACAAAACCTCTTAAGACCACTTCCCCAACAATCCCAATTGACTGTCACAAATACAGAGTCACACTTTAGAGAGGTGTGTTTTCCCATCCATGAAACTCAATTTGCAGAAGTTTTTGTAAATATGCTGTCTCCTTTCCACCCCAGTATTTCCCACAATTCTAATACTCTAATTAAAGACAGGAATTTCTGAAGTGTTGTCCTCCATTTAGTCAGGAATTCATGGGAATTAATGTTACATTTCTAAAAAGGAAACAGTGACCATCCCAATAAAGGGGTACAGAGGAACAAAGCAAAGCCCTCTCCTACACCAACAGCACTACTCCTGAGAAAACCTAGCTCCCAGTCTTATTTTTCCTCCTACTTTCTTACTGCCCCAAACACTACTCAGAATATGCATAAAAGGCTAAGCCTTTCTTGCACACTCTGTTATTAATATTGTTGCTGTTACTGTTAATTTCTTATTTCATTGCTGTTTCCAGCAAATTGTTCTTATCTCAACCCGTGATCTTCACCTTTTGTGCCTTCAATTCTCTCCTCCAGTTCTGCCATGGGGGAGGGTGGAGTGAGCAAGTGGTGTGAGGTTTGGAGTGTTTCAGTGGGAACACTAAATTGGGGAATACCATTCCTAAGCCACAACAGACTTATTTGCCACCCAACATGGGGTACGAACGGTTGAGATAATAACAGAGCTGTCCAGAGTGAGTTGGAAACAAATTTGATCTAAGCATTTGTTGTATTAGGTAAGGAGCCACTGGTCAGAATATTGCTTGGTCTGTTCATGTGGGTGTGGTACCTAATCCTGTATATATTCCCATATATGCAATATGTGCTCCTTGTGATGATATTTTTCAGAGCAGGGAGAGGGATCAGGATTGCTTTGTTGCTGCACTGTGGGATATTGGTTTATGACATGATAACATCAAGGGCAGTGAGGGTCATTTGGGATGTGTGTTCAGTGCTGCTCTCTTGCCCTTACCTTTGGGAGTCCACTAATAATCATACCCAGTCTGTGGGAAGAACAGGGGAGAATGATTTACCCCAGCTTTTC